AGCTTTAAGCATAGACCCTATTAAGGAACTGAGTCTATGTGGACGCACATGATGGACACCGATATAAACGATGTAGAAGTTAAACAACATTTACTGCAACTTGTGGACAGGAGCTTTAATGTTGCTAAGCGTTGGCTGGCAGATGACTGGGCCTGGTTGTAGATGGGCCGAGTAAAGAATGTGGCAGGCAGCGGGGCAAGCTGATGGCGTAAAGCTTAAAGCAGTACAGACAATCAAGGCTGCTGGTGACAGAGTGAGTGTGGAGCTAAGCGAGGCAGACAGGTAGCTGGTGAAGAGGTTGTGGGCCTGAAGCACAGGGAGACGAGGAGTTATTTCTAATGGGAAAATTACACTACGAATGAACTTAACTGAATAAGAAGTCAGCATAGGCTTAGTAGAAGGTAGGAAAACTGAACAATCTGGCAAAAAAAAAAGCTAAGGCACAGCACCTCAGTTAGCAAATACTTCTCAGAAGCTGAACCGACTGAAGTAGAATGATTGGAGTGTCATGCCCAGACAGAGGCACACATTAACTAGCAAAATCAATATTTGTCACACACTTTCAAGTTTATTGACATGATATCAAATTCACTTTAATAGCTAAACATTGACCTGTCTGACTTTTTTCTTTTTATATAAATTGGACCATTGAGATAAAGCTGAAAAATGCAGTATGCCATCTCCAATACTATTTTAACAGTGTGTTTAAGTAGTGAAGTTCAACTTTTTTACTCCAGGCCATCCACGCCTACATTCATTGTTATTTCTTTTAAAAAATCCCACAAAAAAAAAAAGGAAATACATCAGATATTTCAAAGTAAGTAAAGAAAGTTAATATTCATGTGTGTAAAGTCTGCAATAAAAGATCATGCTGTTGATATATTTTTTTAAAATACTATTGGTGTAAACAAAATCCATGTGCAATTCCTTTAGGCGTTACTTACTAGAAAATTTAGACTTGAAAACCACGGTTAAAGATTCCGACACATGGATATCATCATCAGCAAAAGATCGTTTGTGGCTGGTCTTTTTGGGAAGGGGGAATACATCACCTACATGAGTGCTTTAATGAAATCCTTTTTTAATAACATTCTTGTTCTTGCCTACTGGAAGAAAAAAGAAGAGGGAGAAAAAGTAAATATACCATTTGCACCCAAAGAATAATTTTGTTTGGTTTAAATGCCTTTCTTTTGAACAGTCTTCACAAAACTTGAAATAAACAAAGAACACAAAGAAAATAAAGGGGAAAAAGAATCACTCTCCACCACACTTCTTTTGAGAGGACGAGAAATTGTTTTGCATGGAATGTATGAAAATCTTATAACATAATAACATAACTTATTTATATTACAGTGCAAACGTATTGAGTAACCCGCTAATTTCTTTAAATTTTTCAAGGAAAATGGGAAATAGGAGCAATGACTTATTGAAACATACCAAAAAATAAAAATAAAGTATATAAGGTGAGTTTGAATTTGTACAGGTCTGATGATCATGAATGTTTGGTATGATCACTTTTATTGTCCAACACACCCTTAACTCTCTTAGGCACACTTTTTGCATTTCCTTTCAGTAGTCTTCAGAAATAGTTCTCTCTTCTTTGGATGCTGGATGCCTTTTGTTTGTCTCAGTCAAGATGATCCCACACTGCTTCAGTAATGTTTATGTCCAGCTCTGCACAGACCAATCAATGACTTATAGTGTATTTCTATCCAGGTATGCTTTTACTCCAGTGGTAGTGTATTTGGGATCATTGTTGCATCCCCAACACCACTGGCTGCAATGCAGCCCCAAACAATGACTTAACCTCCACCATGTTTTACAGATAACTGTGGACCCTCACTGTTAAAACTTTCTCCAGACCTCCTCTGTAAATTCTGTAAATGTCAACCACATCCATACATATGATTGACAAATTTCAATCTTGGATTCATCGTTTCATGAGAAAACTCTGAAATATCCTGAGAAAGCGTAGAGAACTATCGCTTAATTCCAACATAAATAAATAACTGATCAAAACTTTAGATCAAATATAGGACATCAGATACTTTATTGTCATTATACCATTGTTCATAGCATCACAATGAAATTAGGTCAAAGCTCACTAAAAAAGCCAAAAACCATTAGATAATATTCATATAGAATTCTTAAATAATGTAATAAAAAACCAGAAAAGAAGACAGCCTCCATATTAAAATGACTGACAGACAAACTTTGATTCTCTAAAATGCAAAGTTCTTTTGGGCAACCCTGGGTCCTGGCATTCATATTGATATTAGTTTGATATATGCTATCCACATAAACATTCTAGTAGACCAAGAACACCAAGGAATGACAACAACACCCACTGATCCCCAACAGCACTCTGCACTCTGCCACACAATGAAAAATGCTCAGGAAAAGCTCTGAGAACATGCAGGTACTGGCCATGTCTTCAGCCTCCTCAGATCCAAATCCAACCAAGTGTGATAACAACCAAGTGTGGTAACAAACCTAATGCACACAGCTCAAAACCCAGGTCCCAGGGGATCCACTTCAAATATCCAGTTGTGACACACCAGGAAAAAAAAGTGATACTGTTTTGGCAGCAAACCATATTAAGCAGGTATAATAATATACCAACAAATCTGCACAGTTTTCTCACATTGTTTCCTAGAAACTACCTTAAAAATAACAACAACAACCATCATCATTATCAGCTTAATAATCATAAAACAATTAAGATATTTTTAAAGTATATTTTAAATATCTTTACAGCAAGTTTGATTGTTTCACCGGTGTCCTCTGACTAAAATGTTAAGGTCTCCCAGACTAACAGAGCAGTGTCCTGATTAATTGTTTTCATAGTGAGCAGTTCTGCAGCACACCATTAAAATCTAATGCCAACATTCAGCAACGATTCAAAAAGTAGTGTGTCCTCTAAAAGTAGAAAGTAAGTAAGTGGAGGTCACTGTGTTGGGTGGGCATGTAGCGTGACTTTCACGGGAGAGAAAACTCAGATCAACAAGTGCTGTGTTTCCACAGGCAGTGTTTAGCCTGTAATTGTGACCTCCTGGGCCGAGCTGCGAATATATCCTGCAACACCCTACCTGACATGTGACATGTTGCCATGCTGGTGACTAGAGAGAAAGTGCAGTTTCAAAATCTACTCTGTGTTTTACTCCCAAGTCTTTTAATAGTTTATAACTGAATGTCTGTAGTTCACAGTTGAGCTCTTAGCAATTTGAAGTATTGAGTTTATTTATCAATTGTTTTAAAGCTATATCAGAACTTTTTGCAAATGCAAACCGAACAGTTCCTGCTGTTTGCCCTCGGCATCGGTGAACCAGCAGTAGGCTTGCCAGTGGTGCTATTCTTTAATAAAAAGTGGTGCACACAATAAGATGTGGCTATATTGCATTTTGCTTTAGCTGATTCATTTTAAATATTGCAGAGAGGCCTTCTACCTGCTGTCCTGCACCATACTAGCATGACTCATTTCTTTCAAAACTGTCTGAATGGATGCTGAATATTGTTAGAACTGTGTATAAAGCTTATCCATATCTTAACACTGCATTAATCATAGTTTACATTGCATTACTACAAAACCTCAGAGTTCTGTGTTGTTCTAATGCACATATACTAAATCCCTCTCTTGGACACAAAAACAACACAGAGAGATAAAGAGAAAGTGAGACCTGCCAGTCACAGCATACCAGACAGACAGAAACCTTCAGCATATTACAAGAGCCACGAGGAATATAAAGGACTGTGGGTATGAATGTTCATCTTTGTGACAAAGGGACTGGGATGAGAGAGGTGGTAAAATGCCTACATTTTGCACAGAGGGAATTTGTTGAATACACTCTTGTACAGTTTTCCACAAGGTTAGAACCTATTGGTCCACTAAGCAGATATGGAGACCAGTCTGCCAATTACAGACACCAGAATATAAAGGTCATTAGCAGCTCAAAAGGCCAGAAAGGCAGTCCGTCCTCTGTAATATGATGGTTTTTTTTGTTCAGAAAGGTTTTCTGTAGCCACAAGAAACTGGTTGGGTACATGTCCTGCTTATACTAATAGGCTGCAGGCAATAAGTTGACCCAGATTAATGGGGATGCAAGGTCCAGTTCTTGGACATAGGCTTGTCTGCCCTTTTTAGCTAGGAGACCTTTTTGGGGAGCAGGTGGGGGGCAGCGCAGTTGAAGAAAAAAGAAGCTAAGTTCAGCTTTTGTCAGACATTTTGATTCACACTAAAAACCTTTTGAATTAACATTTGATTAACATTAACCTCGACTTTTCCTTTGGTGAATTTTCTCTTTCATAGTCTCAGAAAACGTACTAGATTGGCTGAAAACAAAGGCTACATTTCTGGTGAGTTTGCCAAATGCCAGCCAGTATTGAAATTGTGTGAGCCTCAGTCTTATCCCGTAACTCCACATGTCAACAAAATGAAGTTCTGTTTAACATCTTTGAACTTCTGTACCCACATAAAGGATTTAAACCCCTCCAGGCCTCACTGTGGCAGATGAAGACTTTGCTTCAGATTATCACAAAGAAAAAAAAAATTCAATGTACATCTGTTAAGACATACCACAAACCTCGATACTATTCAAAGTAATCAGCAAAATGCATGACTAATGGTGTATTAATATAAATGGAAAGTATTTTGCTATTAAAACACCATCTGTTGAGTCATGTTAAAAAAATAGTCGCTTCTTTCTTCATTTCTTTTTTTCTTAACACACTTTTCTTAATACTTGTCCCGGTCACCTGGAGCTTTAAGTCGCCTATGTCGCACATGCTACCTTGTTTTAACCAACCCTAACCTACTCCGTTTACTCAAACTACGCACATTCGTGCAACTGGTTAACTGGAGAAATCTATTAATGAACATATGTTAAAGCTACATGCTTGTAAAGCAATGCTGGAAGTTTGATGGCTGATGTTTGACGAGTTTGCCATATGTTTGGGCATACTGTTTCATCCGACCATACAACTGCGACGCCTTCGCAATAGGACATGGATTTGAAATGTCGGGGTCCTCGGAAAGACGTTAGCAGTGCGTCTGTTTGATCCAAAGCGCAAACGAGTGTTTCTTTAAGTGCGTGTGTGGAGTTTTCCTGCACCGAGTGATAGGAGGGGTTGGAGAGTGACGCTGGCTGCGCCTTGGTGCTGAGCGGAGCGCTCACCTGCAGATGAGAGAGCCGGGGAAACTCGGGGCAGCACACTCACTAAGCGCGCAGAGGGACGTAACTAACAGTCTGACCGAGAAAGAGGGAATAATTTTTGGAAAAGAAAAATACGAACCGACCCTCTTTCTGGTTCTTTTGTCCGGGCAGCATTGAGTCGCTTCCTCGCCACGATGAGAACTGACTTCGCTCTGGTCCTGACAGCAGCCCTTCTTCTTGACACATTCTGGGTGAGATTTCTCATTTTTTTACTAAAGCTTCTGATACAGCACATAAGCTCGAATAAAGTCATGCAGCCAGAAGGAAGCCGTGGTGTGTGTTGGTACAGCAACCCGGGGCTCGCCGTTATCCCCCTACAAGTAGGCACGCTAATTGGTTCCCTAATGAATTTCAATGTATAAAAAGAAAAAAAGTAAGTCTCGAGGTCCGCTCGAATAAGCCTTGTCAGTATTTCTCTAAATCGCTGGCAGGTCATCATCATTTGTCATACACAACTTAAATCACGGCACAAGTTATTCACCCAAGGTGATACCTTTAATCTTTTTTCAAACTGACTTGGTCATGTCGCTTATTTAAGCTACAGCCCACCATCCCCTTAAGTTTCACTTGTCAAAAAAGCGATGCCTTTGCAAAAGTTAACTTTAAAGTTATGTAGTGTTTTTCAGCCTTTTTCGTCATTTCATGAATCCAGAATTAAGTCGGCGCCAGTGGACTATTAACGGAGCTCGGAGTAGCTCCTAAATCTTTCTCTCTCCGCCGCCTCAGACGGAGGCAATTGCTCTCCTGCTATATGGATATCGGAAAAAGACTGAAAAAATGTTGTGCTCCTGCGGTATGCCCCCGCAGTGTGTTGAACCTCCATTCCTGTCCAGCCAATCTTGCTAGTGTGTGTGTGCGTGCGTGTGTGCGGACGCGTGCATTTGCTTGTGTGCCATGGCTGTAGTGGGTCAGATCGTTTAATTTAAACAACAGTGAGCGCTAAATGCTGGGTGCAAAGTTGACTGCAGACCGTTTGATTAGTGCGCACAGGCGTGCTGCTCCCCCTCATATCCCTGGACCTCTCCGTTAGTACAAGACCCACAATAAGCAGGGAGACAATTATTCTGCATTCATGCAGGTTTCCTCTGTGCGCGTGCTGCCTGTGTGCGCGCGCGTGTGTCACTTAAGCCTGAGTACAATACTTTTAACTACATCTGTCCTCATTTTGTCTGGGGTGGTTTCTTCATGGAGTGACTAACACAGCACATTTTATCACTGACATTGGACTGTGTGACCATTTAATCAGCATCACATCTAGCCACAAGCAGAAAGAGTTGATAAACTTGTTGAATTTATTTCTGCTAACTGTTCTTTATGCTGCTTTTCTCCAAAGCTTGGAGCCAAAAATGAGGAAAGAAATCAATGGAATCCATGTTTATCGATGTCTTTCAATGTATTTTTTTTTCTTCCAGAGGAATAATGGGGTGCACGCTTCCAAAGGTCCCTGCCAACCTGGCTTCTCACAAAGCTTCTACTCTGTGCTGATTTCAAGGGATGTACTGCAAGGTCAGGGCATACTTAAAGGTAAGCCCTTTAATTAGCAAGTCAGTTATTTTGCATTCTGTCAAGGCAAGAGAGAGGGTGAGCAAAAGACCTCACTGTTTGCACTGAAGGAAGTAAAAGGAGGTGTGTATGGTGATGTGTTTTCTTTCAGTGCTTGGCCACGTTGCTTTTAAGATTACTGAAGCACCACTTGTGCATGTGGAAAATTGTCGTAAAAGTGGAAATGTAAAAATAATCATTTTAGTCACATGGGTATGTACATGTGAAGCTCGTGCGATGTCAGAAATTGCAAACTGGAGCAATTTTGTGCTCGTAATTACCCTGGTCTGTTGTTGCAGTGCGATGTTGTAAAAATATAACTCATGTAGTAACACGCATCCATGCATTTGTTTATATTCTATGCAATGATGCTGTAAATGTTTGCCTGTTACTTTTGGGTTATACCCGCTTGCATTTATTTTTGTGTTTTTGACCTTGTTCAGTGTCTTAAGAGTATTATCATCATCTTTATCTTCATTACAGTAATTTTTAGCACTATCATCTTCACACTCCGTCTTTCCCAAATGTATTTGTATTGTTCCAATTACACAATGAGCCAACCAAGTTTGAGGGCCCTATAGTGCAGGAAATGGAATCGACATCCTGTGTCTAATCTGGCACTGCTCCTGCCAATGTGGGCTAATTGCAATTCTCTATTGATTCCAATGGTTTTTTTTCTCATAGCTCAGCTAAGCTGTATTGTTTTGCTGTGGGCGCACAATAGCTCTTTTGTGGGTCGACTGTGTCTTCGGCAGCTGCGCGGTATATATTTCTCACTCTCCTTAGCTGTGAGAGACCTGCCGGGGATACAGCTGTCTAGACTCTTTTTCCTGAGTGTGCGCGTGCACAGACGCACGCACACATACACCAGTGAAATTTTGATTTAAGGATATATAAAATGATACAGTACATTATTTTTTTGCTTGTTTTATGTTATCTGTCTGTGTTCATTGCTGGAGTGATATAAGAGTGAAAGAAGATATCAGCTTGATTTTAGTGTTTCATTAACTTCAGCATATTATATCTTGGCTGGGAGTGGGATTGGATGCGGGACATTGTCACTGGCAGTGAACTTGCTCTCAGTGTGGTAGTGATGTCTTCAGCCCAGCAGGGGGTGTCAACACAATCACAAACAATCACGGAATGAGCCATCACTGCTGCACAGAAGCCATTTATTTCACAGAGCATTATTTATCTAGTTTGGTCTCAGGTAGATGAAATTGTCTCTCTTTCTCACTCTACACATAAACTAATCTTTAGTGGTCTAACATGGTTGCTTTCAGTGTTAGGAATTCATTTTACCACTAACAACAGAGGCCTAAGCATCATTTTCATGGCACTTTCCCTCCTAATGTAAACCATACTAAAGTCAGGTTCACGCGATCACAGCAAACCCATCATGATATCTGCTCATAAATCAGATTTATAGTTTATTTGCGAGGTTACTTTCAAGTCACACGGAAAGCACATTCTTAAAGTTTCGCATTCAATAGTTTTCATCGGCGTTGCTTGAAATGTTCACAGCTGCAGTGTCATCTTCATGTGTGTTTGAGAATACAGCTGCAGTGGTCAAGCAGACACACACACACATTTAGACAAGCACACACTCACTCCATGTGATTTGCAGGACTCAGGCAGCTGATTTATAGCTGGTAAGGGTGTCACCGGAGGAAGGCAAGGGAGCAGCTCTGGAAAGACTTTAATAATAACATTATTTAACCCAAAACCGTCAGATAGGGGCAGAAGTAATGACACCCACTCAGGCACACATGCGTGCACACAGACACACACACACACACACACACATATATATGTATGTCTATATATATATATATATAGATAGATAGATAGATAGATAGATAGATAGATAGATAGATAGATAGATAGATAGATAGATAGATAGATAGATAGATAGATAGATAAATAATTAATTTGTGTATGTGTGTGCTTGTGTGGGAGTCTAATCTCACTGGGGAGACTAATGGGGAGGACAGAACTGGGACCTTGACCATGATGGGTAGAATGCCTGAGCCCACAGAGCAGGTCAGTAACCGGAGATGGAAGGTTTTACAGTTCACATTTTATAATTTTCAGTTACTCTGATGACCAAAATTTCCTAAAACAATGTTCAAAGCCACAGTGAAATCTCTTTGTAAAGTCAAAATGAAATTTGTATGGAACCCCAATATTCCAAAGTTTGTGGAATGTTATTTATTTATTAAATTTTTATATTGTGGTTTACATTTGACAAGAAAAACATTATTGGCATGTTTATAGTCAGCCATCAGCCATTTATATTTTCTTTCTTTTGGGTGGTGTTAGTTTGGTCACTTAGAGATTCTCAGTCCTCTTCTTTGTCTTCTTCATATTATTATTATTATTATTATTATTATTATTATTATTAGTAATATTGTTCTTGGTCTTTTTGGAACAATGGTGCTCATTTAGATCATCCTCTAAATGTTCTGTGCATTGTGACCAACTGTTTCGCTGACAAGCACAATCTATCCAATAAACATTAAAAAGAATTAATTCTGCACGCTGCATTGTTCTGGCTGTGGGAATTGATCTGCTCTTTATTTATCTGGAAACCCATGCCAGTTCTAAAGTTAATAGCTGAAACACACATTAAACAGCACACTGCATAATGGATTCTGATTGATTATAAGGCTGCTCTAAATGCAACACTTTTGAGGATTGTTATACTTTTAACATGCACATATTAGCAGCACACTCAGTATTGATAATGGCAAATGCCATGTTTGTCTTTATAGTTATAGGAGCGGTTTAAGAGGGTGAGTTAACGTCTTTAAAAAATGCGAAGTCTTTTTCAGTCTCTGTGTGTGCTTTTTCCTAATATTGTTAGTATATGTATGCATGACACATCGAGTGCTAACGATGTCCCGTTTTTTATGCCTTGTTTTGATCAGACCTATGACAGCTTCTCCTAGCACATTATTCCAAGACCTTTAACACTGAATAATTACTTGTAAAATCAGTATAACACAAGTAAACACAACTCAGAGAAAGGTCCTATTTCTTCTCTGTTTCTGCAGACAAACAGTGAGTTGTACAATAATTTAAAGTGTTGATGCTTGGATCAACACATTTGGAGTTTTTGTATCTCGCAAATGAGAGAGAAGCTATGAGTTGGACTCAAGCCAACCCAATAGAGATAAACAGAGCTGGTGAATGTAACCTCATCCCATGTGTCCCTGCATCCCTTTGCTGATTCTGTTCCTGGTAATAAAAGCCAGGGTTGGTGGTTTCAGCTCAGTGAGCCCACTCTGCTGACCTTGGACTTTGTTTGGGTTACTGGTGGTTTTGGGCAGCCCTCACTTTCTGTGTTTGCGACTGTGGTGGTATTTGTCTGAGTTTAGTGAGAGAGGAGAGGGAGAGAGAGAACATGGGGACATAGTTGATGAATTCTGCGAGGTCCTTCTTTTTTGACATGTCAGTACCTGAGCTTTAAGGATGCTGACATCCACGGTGCAGCTTCTCAGAAAGAACTGTCGATTTTTCCTGCAGTTGTCACTGTTTTTAGAACCTCCACTAATGCTCAGATTCGTGCTGAAAACGAGACCCCTCCAGTGATATCAGCCAGAGCGTCTGAATGTCTCTATTAAGGTGACCAGTTCTGTTTTTAATAGAATGGTTTTTCCTTTGTCCCGACTCATAAACATGTTTTCTGATCCACAAAGCATTCTTTCTCTATATCTCATACTTGTTCTCTCTCTTCCGCTTCCTCCCATGCGCACACATAAATATACACCAGCTCTCACCTTAGACAGGGATGCTACCATTCAGTAGAAATTCCAACTTCAGTTGATGCCGTATATATCTATGACTTGCCTCTCTGACCCACATCCTTTCTCTCTCCCCTCAGTGCCACTTTTTTCTTGTCACATTTATAGTATTTTCTAGCATACTCTGAGTTTTGCTCATTTTGAGAATGCCCTAATACGAGCAAATATACAACAGAGAACTTCGAATTCTGAATAAAACAAAACGTTAAGAGCTGTAATTTTTTTTCCAGGATATTATTTCCCGAAAATCTCTCCCAGCAGCCAACTCGAAGGCCCTGGGTGATGAGTCTCACATGCCTTGGTTAGTGAGGCTTTCCTATGAGACTTAAGGTGATTTTTCAAAATCCAATAGCTGGGCTGTTATTGCTATAGGCTTTGCATTCTTAACATCATTTTTCAACTTGAAGCTCAGAAGTTGATATACAGTAAGTATCAATTTCACCCCCAGTTTAATGCACAGCACTATTTCCATATGAAAAAAAATGGCACGCCATTACAAATACACTAACAGATGCTGTGCCTTACAGGTTTTAATAATATGCCATGAATTAGGGTAACATTTCCTGTCCTTCCTGCACCATTTTGTTTTCTATCCCTGCACCCTCAAACACAGTTAGATGCTTTTGATGACCTGTTTTGCCCCAAATCTCTTGACAAACAGCCTGTAGTTTTATCTGGATCGATAGCAGACAGGTGTCCTCATGGAGATTAGATATTGCAGCCAATGCTGATGCAGACTTTAAGAAGTTAAAAAAAAAGACGTGGATATCAAATGCTTCATAATTGGTTCATTATTTATTAACTTTACAGCATCGTAGCTCCAAAACTAGTGAATAACTTACAGTAAAAACATTGCTGAACTCTACAGTACCATCTACTCTGCTGTGATGCTTGCTGTGCTGCAGATAATGAAGTGACTATTTCAAACAGTGAAGTTGGAGCTGCTGGAGAAACTATGTGATTTTGGTCAACTGATATATTGTACAGGTCAAATTGGAATAGTTGATGCAATAGTCATCTTCTTAAATCATGCACATTGTTTTCTTTCCTTTGTTACTAGTTTTTGTTCATTGTATCTCACAATATTCTTTTGAGTAATCCTTTGGTTTAATCAGCTACTGCCAACAGTTTTCTACATATCCTGTAATCATTCAAGGCCCACCACATTTTGTTATG